GTTATCACCTTACTTAGTCTGTAGAGGTGCGTGTTTCTCTAAAAAGGCTTCTATACCAGATGTGTATGCTTCAACAAGATCGTCAACCCCGCCTTCAGTAGATTGAAGGCGGAAGAAGACTGTATGTCATTGTTGAAATCTGGTATTGAAATTTCGCGGAATTTCCGGAAACTCACTTCTTTCCTTGCAAGATCTGGCTTACTACAATTCAGTGTTGCGTGGACAGCAAGATGATCACCAGATTGTTTCCCTTTTACATCACTTTGACATGGATCAATCACTGAAATTACTCCATGAATGACTGAGTTATCTTCCCTTGTTGTGACCACATCCAGTTTGTGGCCATGGGTGTGTGTAGCTTCTGCACCTGCTGAATCAGACCCCTGGAATCTAGTAGCCCAGAGAACTGGAGAGCATCAACATTAGATAGATCGTCTAAGTGGAAATTTAGGTCACCCGTGACCTTAGGAGGCACGGTAGACTAGTGGTAGGTCGCCGGGCTCATGACCGAAGGGTTGCGAGTTCGAGTTATGGCACGACACTGTGTTGTATCTTTGTTTGCTTGTTCCAGCTGTAAATGAGTATGTGGTTGGGCAGTGCTAGAATTGCTGAATGCTAGGCGTAAGTGCCGAAATGGCAGCACCGGTTGTATGCTCCCCTGGGAGTTGAGAAAGATATTGGCTGGTTGCAAAGGCCCTATGGTAGCAGAGTTTAGTAGCGTACGGTGGCCATGGGTGATATTTTTATACAATGAATAACCCCTGTAATATAACATGTATCAAAATTTTNAAAAATCGAATTTGGTTTGAGACTACAATTTTGGGCATTTACAAATCTGTGTCTACACAACAAAAGCTAGCTTTTCATGTAGTCTATTTTTGTACTCAGCACATGTGTAAATATTGTGAAAAATCCACCGGAATGACCTATGCTAAAACGTGAGTATTTCTGTTACCGAGTAGGCGATATTTAATTTCAGACAGGTTTTAAGAAAAACAATTCTACTTGTGGGGGTCAAATTCTGGGTTAAAAATCATGATTTTTTGCATATTTTGGTGTTTTTTGATGTGGTAACCATGGTTTTCAGAATCCCAAATCAGGGGAAATCACTTTTTGAAAAAAAAATGTTCTTCTAAAAAACACCTATTCAAAATGTAGTTTATAAATATATATATATATATATGTAGGTGTGTTGTGCAGGATGAATCCGCTATCCATGTTTATCCGAGACATGCCCTTTATTTTTAGGGTAAAGCCATTTCTACTGTACTCTGCCACCTATAAACACAGATAATAATTTGTGAACCGCTTTGAGACGACCTACAAACTAGGCTGGGATAAAGCAGTATATAAGAAACTTGAATTATTATTGTTCTTATTATTATAATATAATAATCTCTTGTGACACAATAACTTAGTGGTCTAAAAAGGTAGACCACTCGTCAAAAGCCACTGTATTTTGGAAATTATTCTGTTTAGATGGAGGAGGCCTGTAAATGATTACACAATTGAAATTGTTTATCATCAGCAATGACAGAACAAATCATTTGCTCAAAGTGTGTCTATACATCATCATGACTGGAATAGAGAGGTCTCACACTTGGGCCTTTCTTAAACAGAACAGCCACCCCACCACCACGTTTGCTGAGTCTAGCATTGATGAGGAATCCATAGCCTGTTGGTATTAGATCAGCTAGTACCTGGTCGTCGATTTATCTAAACCTAGCCAGGTTTCTGTCAATCCATTAATGTCAATGTCCTGAGATGTTACAAAATATCTGATGGACGATGACTTATTTTTCACTGAGCAACAGTTTAAGGACACTAAATTTAGAGGAATAACTGACTTACAGTGACCAGCTGTTTTTGTTGGCTTAATGACATGTAGATTCTCATACGATACTGATGATGTCGGAATCCTTGTGGAAGTATCGTAACAAGAATGCACAATAGTGTTGATGCCCGATACTTCTGTAAGTGCAATGTAGCCCTGCAAGAAAGTGTGCGAGGTGGACAGACTATTTGTAGTGATCAAATGGATGAAATTATCGGTGTTCAGGCCCGAGTGGGTACAACCATGGGTTCCTTTTGATTTAACACTGATAACACTTGGTATTTGCCTAATAGCACCCTTTCCCGCCCATGTCCCACGTCTTGTGCACAAGTTGTGCGACTTGTGTCTTGAATCTCTACAAAGTTCCATGACTTTTGTGACTGAAACTTATAAATGAGTTATGTCTAAGTAGAAGCTTAATTAGTTGCCCTTGACATTTGGAAAAATAAAATGATCACAATACATAAAAATATGTAGATCATACTCTAACAAGAGTACCGCGGGGCGAAACAATATACGCCCGTTGAATGCCATATAGTGTTATATACTTTCTTACAATGAAATAAGATCTGCATCATTCTAAGAGTGGTTAGCTGACATGCTATAAAAAAAAATAGGAGAAAATCAAAAATCAAGTACTGAAATGAACAAAGGGCAAGAACTTTTGCAAAGATTGTCAAATCAAATTTCTTTTAATGGAGACACAACTTCATACTTCATATCATGATTATAGTGTATACCAAGTTTCAAAGAGATCGGTCGAAAAATGAAGGAGGCGATTGAGGGACAAACCAAAGTTTACGCCGGCTGGCCGGCCGACCCCATACCATAATACTCCCGTCAAATTTGACAGGCATATTAAAAGTTGCCCAGAGGGCCTGTATCATAGGCAACCGCAGGGAAATATTCTCATTAAATTTAACACTGCAACTATTATATAAATATCACATTCATGAGAGGGCAATGTTGCATACTTTCACCCCAAGGAAGCATTGTTGACTGAGGCGAAGCCGAGGTCAACAATGCTTTCCGAGGGGTGAAAATATGCAATATCGCCCTCTCATGAATGTGATTTTTATTTTATTATACCTAGTGTCATGTTTAGGTGTTTTACCACTTCACCATTTTTAATGGTCCTTGTGTTGATTTGACATAAACCAAGACTTCATCTCAACAGTTGTCGAATGAACCAACCATGAATGTGATTTGATAACACCCTGGCACTGGGACGAACCGTGCACGCATACGTTTGGCGCATGTGATATTTTTTGGAATAACACCCTGTCTTCTTTATCTTTGTAAAACGAGCAAGTAACATTGAAAATGTTCACATCTTTCTCAGATTACGAGATTTTAACAGAAGGTATAATAATTCCAAATATTGACTCTGTCTCTGAGGAACACCTGTCCCTCACTGGGTTCCTTCTTGCTGTGGTGTTGAAGTGGGGTGGATATTAAAATTTACCTCAATTTCCCCTTTTGAGCCCCCCCTATGCTGAAGTTAGGTGAATGTCAAAATTTGCCTTCAATTTCCCCTTTTGGGCCACATCCCTCTGCTCTCAGAAGGACACATCCTCCATTGATACAAAATTAATTTCACATTGCCTATTTAGGATATTCTACACCAAATTTGGTTAAATTTCCTCAATTTTTACGGAAAGAGATTGATTTTAAACATTAGAATACCCCTTTATTCCTTCTATTGGGTCCCGCCCTCTACAATTCTGGGAAAACTCGTTCTCTTTTTATAAAACATTGAGTCCCCCCTTTGCCAAGAGATGCTTTACACCTAATTTGATAAAATCCCTCCATAAATTAAGGAAGAAGATCTAGATTTATCCCTATTGGGCTCCGTCCCTCTACCACTAGAGGGTTTAATGGAGTCCACTAAATTGCCCTATGATATTCCACACAAAATTTGGATTATGAATACTTATATATATATGGAAGGATAAAGATTTTAAATATTTATCACTTTGAAATTCCTCCTTTTATATAAATGGAGTCCCCTTTGCCCACCAAGGAGGTTCAACAGAAAACTCATATATTCGTATGGAAGGAGAAGGATTTTAAACATTTAACATTATGCTCCCCCAATTAGGATCTGCCCCTCTGTTACCACAGGAGGCCACACCTCTGTTTATACAAAATTGATACCACTTGCAAAAGCAGGCTCTTGACCAAATTTTGTTAAAATCCCTCAATCGTACAGAAAGAGAAGGAATTTGAACCTTCACATCAATTTCCCCTATTGGGCTCTGCCCCTATACCCAGTAGGAAACACCCCATTAATAAACAATTGAATCCTCTTTCAAAAAAGATTCTCTACACAAAATATGGTTAAAATCCCTCCAATCGTGCTGAACTTGAAGTAGAAGGATTTTAAAGATTTACCTCAAGTTCTCCTATTTTGCCCAAACCCTCTGTTTCTATAAAATTGAGTCCCCTTTGCCCAAGGAAACTCTACACAAAATTTGGATAAAATCCCTCCAATCATACTGAAGAAGGATTTAAAACATTTTTTCCCCTATATACTCCTTCAAGAACCCAAACCCTTGGTCTCCAGGGAAGCCACATTCAATGTATACAAAATTGACTTCCCCTTGCTTATGATGTTCTACACAAGATGTTCTACACAAAAATTGGTTCAAATCCCTCTATTCATACTAAAGAAGAAGAATTTCACAGGTTTACCATAATTTCTCCTACTGACTCTGCCCCTCTGCCGCCAGGGAAGCCATACCCTCCATTTATACAATTGATTCCCCTTTGCCCAAGGATTCTCTACACCAAATTTGGTTTAAATCCCTGCAATGGTACTGAAGAAGATGTATTTTAAAAAATTCCCTAAATTTTCCCTATTTGGCCCCACCTGTCTGCCCCCAGTGGGGCCACACCATTTACTTGCCTTAGGATGCTCCAGGCCAACTTTAGTCAATCCACTGAGCCAATCAGGACTACATGTAGTAGTGTTTTAAAGGAAAAACTGACCAACGAACGAACAACGGACCACAGCAGCAGTTCACATGGAATCAACACTCTTTGTTTATACAGCCGAGTGTGATTTAAACCTCAGATGAGTAGATCCTCAATCTTAACAGCTTTGTATCCATCCAAAGTGGCTAGAATAATGAGTACCGACAATACAACAACACTTGTTTCTTACATTGCTTGAACTTTCCACCAATCCTTCAGGGTCAAGAGTTTTTGACATGAGTTGTTCCCCTACTTCAAAATCCCAGCTTGTCCCTTTGCTACCAAATGTTCCTTTTCTTCTCCATTTCCTAACTGAAAGAAAACAACGATTCCATACAGATATATATATATTTGTTTTAATCAATTTTATTTATTATACAACAATTATGAAACTCGTTATTTCAACTTATAATAATTATATATATATATAATTAGCCTTTTTGGTAGAGATGTTTGCATGCAGGGGCTCTTAGATATAGATCAAGTAGGTATAAAAAGGAAGTCAAATACTTCTTTTTCCATTTTGAAGTCTAACAGTTTCATGCACACAATACCTCTTTCAATTTACATGTCAGTGTTTCAGTCATCTGGTTTTCAAAAATATCTAAAGTACTTCCCAAAATATTGATGTGATATTAGTTAATATCGCTCACAGAGCAGCATGACTGTAAATGTGTCTTTTCAATAGAAAAACACATAACATCTTTTGACACAGTAATACATTTTTTTTTCATTATGAACAAACAGCTTCACTTTAGATATGCTGGACATTTTCATCTCAATGGCAGATCCAGCCTACATTTTTGTGCAAAAACTGTTATTTAGGGCAGCACAGCAAATGTCAATGTCAAACTCAATAGGATATAGCCTTGTTCTTGTCAAGATAATTTGATTGAGGAGTCTGTCGACAATCAATCTATTGTTCTCATGTAACCAACTCAGTTCAAGATCAGTATTAATATAATTATAAGTCTTATACTGATATGCTATAATGTGTATTCATTACTCATATGATCATTTATCATAAGGACTGAGTATTTTCTAATGTTCCTGCTAATATGAATGGAAGTTGGTTACATGCAGATTCTTTGAAATTCTGTCTGCTAAATGTGACGAAAACGTACCGAGCTATACGTATACTAGCAGTTTGCATTTGTAAACCGCCGTATTCGTGTGCATTCTTGATGTTGTTTACGCTCTTGAGTTGGCCTTGACCTAGCCCTGGTCAAAACACATAGGTGATGCATAGAATCTCCTGGTGATTGACAGGTAGGGCGGGCCTATAGGGATATAAGCCGGCCAAGACGCACGTGCATCGCCTTTCAGCCACGGCCAGCGTGCACAGCCTTTCAGTCTACAGCCCCTCGGCGAGCATGCAGACAGCCTTTCGGCCATGGCCACTCACCCCGTTGGCCAGCGTGCATCGCCATTCTGTGTCAGAAGCTACACGAGAGCAGAACATTACTTGTTAGTTGTAAGTATACTAGAGAGTGAGCTTTCAATGAGGGGGTATGTCTGAATAAGACCGTTACCCATTACGATCGCATAATCGAAAGTATCATACCTTACAAGGGCGAGCTATAGTGTTGCTTTTGGTCTGCTATGTTGATAAATCACGGGCACTGTGTGGGCTCGTTAGAGTGCTATAGGGAGTTATAGGGACCACTGAGTGGTCAGGGTAGCTCAAGGTTAGCAAGAGGAGTTCTATAGATTGTACAATATAGGTACATGTAGTGCTGCCGAGCTATCATTGTAGCCAGACATATGCCGTACTGAGCTTCAAAAACGGAGCTATCGCCAGAGTACAGGTAGTGTGGTCAAGACTGATGTGGGCAGTGAGAGGTCAGTGGGAGCGTTTAGTTAGATTAGTGTTAGGTGTTTTATTGTTCTATACGTAGTTATTCTGCATTTACTGTTACATTGATACTGCTTTGTATATATTTATTAGTGCAAGACGTACATGATCACAAGCAGCGATTGCTCGGACATAGGCAATGTTTCATAGCTAGATTAAGTTATCTGTATATATATATTTGTATCTATACTAGAATTGATACACCCCAGTTGGGGTGGGTATACTCGCCGGAATCTCCAGTGTGACTGGTAGGGAGGGACCATAGGAGAGTCTTCACATAAATATGGTAAGCTATCAATTAAGGAAGCTCTCTGATAAGAGTTACTTCATTTGTATTAAAGATGGATGTTAAATCTAAACAAGAGGCCAAGAGAAACACTTTGATGGAATTCTTGAGGATTCTACCTGGAAAGGTGGGTATTCCAGGAGAAATCCGCCTAAGCTGGCAGGTTCATAGATACCAGACTTTAGGTAGACCTAGAATCTGACAAAACCCTACCTAAATCTGAAGCAATACTCCATGTAAAATTCTACCTAAACTCTACCTAAAATCTATCCAACATCATCTTAGTAGTAAAATCAAACTTGGAATTTCTTCTTAGGTGGAATTTTGTACTTTGATATATAAACACATGTGGCCAGTCCAGAAACCTGGTTTGTGGTTGGTCAGTTTAAATTCAGACTGTTGCACAGGAAGTTATGAGATATTAGAGGTCAATCGCTAGCCATGGATGGTTGCATTGTGTGATAGCTAATTATGAAAAAGAAATATGAATTTATGACAAAATTATGAACATAAGCAAGAGGAGCAAATAATATTACACTTTCATAGCACAACTACGTTGTTTTTGTTTGAGTCATTATATATTTAAGTGTGAGACAAAGTTAGCAGCATAACAGCAGTATACATGTACTTAAAGTGGTTGTTTAAGGTCACCTTATTTGTTTGGAAAGTTATCAGTTTTTGTTCTAGCATATATATTTGTGTGTGAAATATTGATGAAAAACATACTCGTGTGATAATTGTATATACATGTACATGTAACTCTATTGTAAACAAATAAGCTATAAAACTAAGCATACAAGTGTAGCTACATTGTAGAATGTACTGTAACATGTACAGTGTGCAAGTAAATAACTGAGAATTTGAATGTGGTGTCACATCAGGATTTAGTGGTTCAAAGAACTGTTAGTTTAACTTGTACATATATGAAGGCAACACAATTGAGGAATAGAGGCATTAAAGCTGGTCGACTCTGTTGTTTGTATACATACTTATACATGTCTACACCGATGCTGGTCGACTCTGTTGTTTGTATACATACTTATACATGTCTACACCGATGCTGGTCGACTCTGTTGTTTGTATACATAATTATACATGTCTACACCGATGCTGAATGACTCTGTTGTTTGTATACATACTTATACATGTATACATCGATGCTGGTCGACTCTGTTGTTTGTATACATACTTATACATGTATACAAACAACAGAGTCGACCAGCATCGGTGTAGACATATATAAGAATGTATACAAACAACAGAGTCAACCAGCATCGGGGTAGACATATATAAGTATGTATACAAACAACAGCGTCGACCAGCATCGGTGTAGACATATATAAGCATGTATACAAACAACAGAGTCAACCAGCATCGGTGTAGACATGTATAAGTATGTCTACAAACAACAGAGTCGACCAGCATCGGTGTAGACATATTTAAGTATGTATACAAACAACAGAGTCAACCAGCATCGGTGTAGACATGTATAAGTATGTCTACAAACAACAGAGTCGACCAGCATCGGTGTAGACATATATAAGAATGTATACAAACAACAGAGTCAACCAGCATCGGGGTAGACATGAATAAGTATATATACAAACAACAGAGTCGACCAGCATCGGTTAAGACATGTATAAGTATGCATACAAACAACAAAGTACAGTGTCGGTGTATACATGTATAAGTACGTATACAAACAACAGAGTCGACCAGCATCGGTTAAGACATGTATAAGTATGCATACAAACAACAAAGTCCAGTGTCGGTGTATACATGTATAAGTATGTATACAATCAACAGAGTCGACCAGCATCGATGTATACATGATGTATACAAACAACAGAGTCAACCAGCATCGGGGTAGACATATATAAGTATGTATACAAACAACAGCGTCGACCAGCATCGGTGTAGACATATATAAGAATGTATACAAACAACAGAGTCAACCAGCATCGGTGTAGAGATGTATAAGTATGTATACAAACAACAGAGTCAACCAGCATCGGTGTAGAGATGTATAAGTATGTATACAAACAACAGAGTCATTCAGCATCGGTGTATACATAATTATACATGTCTACACCGATGCTGAATGCCTCTGTTGTTTGTATACATACTTATACATGTATACATCGATGCTGGTCGACTCTGTTGTTTGTATACGTACTTAAATATGTCTACACCGATGCTGGTCGCCTCTTTTGTTTGTATACATACTTATACATGTCTACACCGATTCTGGTCGACTCTGTTGTTTGTATACATACTTATTCATGTCTACAACGATGCTGGTCGACTCTGTTGTTTGTATACATAATTATACATGTCTACAACGATGCTGGTCGACTCTGTTGTTTGTTTACATACTTATACATGTCTACACCGATGCTGGTCGTCTCTGTTGTTTGTATACATACTTATATATGTCTACACCGATGCTGGTCGATTCTGTTGTTTGTATACATACTTATACATGTCTACACCGATCCTGGTCGACTCTGTTGTTTGTATACATACTTATTCATGGCTACACCGATGCTGGTTGACTCTGTTGTTTGTATACATCATGTATACATCGATGCTGGTCGACTCTGTTGTTTGTATAAATACTTATACATGTATACACCGACACTGGACTCTGTTGTTTGTATACATACTTATACATGACTACACCGATGCTGGTCGACTCTGTTGTTTGTAGACATACTTATACATGTCTACACCGATGCTGGTCAACTCTGTTGTTTGTATACATACTTATACATGACTACACCGATGCTGGTCGACTCTGTTGTTTGTATACATACTTAAATATGTCTACACCGATGCTGGTCGCCTCTGTTGTTTGTATACATACTTATACATGTCTACACCGATGCTGGTCGACTCTGTTGTTTGTATACATACTTATACATGTCTACAACAATGCTGGTCGACTCTGTTGTTTGTATACATACTTATACATGTCTACATCGATGCTGGTCGACTTTGTTGTTTGTATACATACTTATACATGTCTACACCGATGCTGGTCAACTCTGTTGTTTGTATACGTACTTATACATGTCTACACCGATTCTGGTCGACTCTGTTGTTTGTATACATCCTTCTACATGTATACACCGACACTGGACTCTGTTGTCTGTTGTTTGTATACATACTTATACATGTCTACAACAATGCTGGTCGACTCTGTTGTTTGCAAACATACTTATACATGTCTACAACGATGCTGGTCGACTCTGTTGTTTGTATACATCCTTCTACATGTATACACCGACACTGGACTCTGTTGTTTGTATACATACTTATATATGTCTACAACGATGCTGGTCGACTCTGTTGTGTGTTTACATACTTATACATGTATACACCGACACTGGACTCTGTTGTTTGTATACATACTTAAACATGTCTACAACGATGCTGGTTGACTCTGTTGTTTATATACATACTTATATATGTCTACACTGATGCTGGTCGACTCTGTTGTTTGTATACATACTTATTCATGTCTACACCGATGCTGGTCGACTCTGTTTTTTTTATACATACTTATACATGTGTACACCGACACTGGACTCTGTTGTTTGTATACATACTTAAACATGTCTACAACGATGCTGGTTGACTCTGTTGTTTATATACATACTTATGTATGTCTACACTGATGCTGGTCGACTCTGTTGTTTGTATTCATACTTATACATGTATACACCGACACTGGACTCTGTTGTTTGTATACACACTTATACATGTCTACACCAATGCTGGTTGACTCTGTTGTTTGTATACATACTTATACATGTCTACACCGATGCTGGTCGACTCTGTTGTTAGTATACATACTTATTCATGTCTACACCGATGCAGCTTTGGCCAGATCCTGCAACAAAAGGGGATGAGCTAATAGCAGCTCTAAAATTGGAAATAGAGAACAGGAGTTCTTAATCTTTTGGTGTATTTTGAATGGGATGTAGGTGAATTTTAGGTAGACTTTTAGGTGCATTTTAGGAGGATACTATGAGACATTTTAGGTCGATTTTTAGTTCATATATATATTCCTGCTAAACTTATTTACATATTAAGGGCCCTTTTCTGCAAGTTTTACAAGAGTACTCCTTCTAAGGCATTATTATATCCCAACGAGGAATCTCATGTAGAATCCACTTTAAGTCCTACTAAAAGTCTGCCTAAAGTTTACTTGGTATCAGTGACATTTTCATACAGGTGGCCAGGTGGGCCCGTGTCACTCACCTGGATATTCTCATTAAAGGTAGTATAATCCACTTGCCCAATCCTAGTAGCAAATATTTATGCTTTAGTTAGTGATTATATATATTATTTCTTCATGCTATTGTTATAAGGTAGGAATCTCACATGTTCCTATAGTAAGACCCTGGAGTACTGAAAGTCCCTGAGGGTTTGATCAGACCCCAAGGCCGATACTGATAGCACAATACTTTCTGTAACAGTAATCTTGACCTTTATAACTTTTCCCTGTTGCACATCTACATATCAAAGTGTATCACCATGTCAAACTAAAAAACAAAATCCATAGTTTGGATTCTGAGAGAAGTATCAGTGACCTTGACTTCAGAACAGTTTTAAATCTCTATTGTACATCTACATATCACACTGTATCACCATGTCAGATATTAAAATAATATATGCATGATATATAACATGATATGTGTGCAGATTCCACAACTGTATCATTTAAATATTATAACATTTGATTATATATAATTTGTCTATTTGTTTCAGTTGGGATTTTTTATTAAAAACATTCTTATACACATTTGGAAATTTAATATAGGCAATGAATGATACAAGATGATAATGGCTATGCATATATCTTGTTAATATATTATAATGGAGATAAAAAAAAACTTTGTTTAAAGATTATTTTAGGCTATTTAAATATCATAATTACAATAAATTGAAAATCTTAATTCATTGCAAATAAAGTTTGTCTGGTTTAGTTTTATAATGTTCATTTAAGGATGAGCCTCCATATGTGTTGTGTATGCGTGCATGTGTGGCTGTGTGCCAGGGGCAGGATACTGTGTTGGTGTAATTGCCCCTTGTGACAGCGAAAAATCTAAATGTCAATTTTATAGAGCTACCTCACTGAAATACCATGCCGAAGGCAGCACCCAGCACAGCATTCCGCCCAGTCACATTATGCTAACAAAGGGTGAACCAAATGTTGCCATTACCCTTCATGCTGAACATTACCATTTATAAAGACGTTGGCATGTCCCAGCCTGGTGACAGAACAAATTGCTTCTCCGCTTGGACAAGCCCAACAATAAAGCCAAAAGTGAGGTATTGCCAATTAAGTCACTAGGAAATAAAAGATAGTTAGAATATAGGGAGAAATCAAAAAAAAAATCTAAATATTGCAATGGGTGTAGCAGATTTATTTTGGTTGCTTTTGTATGCCCAAGAAGGAGGCACAAAAGTAAATCCCCAATTCTGCAGGGGGTTCCTGCATTTGTCGCCTCTTACGATACATGCAGTGGGTAACAGCAGGTGTTTTCTTTTCTCAATCTCCGACCTACAGGGGTGTTGCAAATATGGTCTTTTGATCAAATCTCTTATAGTCCAGAAAACACTTACCTATGAAAGCCTTACCATATTAGATACAAAGACTTACTGATAAGGTCGCCACTTCTTTGGTCATATTCCTCTGCCATTTCTGTGCCATCAGCAAATGTGTAGTGGATTTTCCTCCTCCCTAAACAAATGATTTTATTGATTTCAGCTATTTAAATATCAATCTTTTAAATATTAAGGTTGATTTTAATTGTACATAGGGTTATGGTATCCTTCTAGCTTCGCGCTAAGGGAAATTTCCCTTTAGCTCAATCATACAGGTAGCTAGTGTGCGACTAGGAAGTATGGGATTGTGGGTTTGATCCCAGGTGGAAGCAAACTGTTCTCTTTCCTGTTACTATATTACTTCAATAATCAATTCCAGTCATTTCTAAGTGTAAATTAGATTGGCAGTAAGGCTGAACATCCAATCCGGACATCATGCACACTAGCAGAAAAGATTCACATTAACACTGTTCTTGCATGGTAACTTCAATATATAGATATGGTAACTCTGTGAATGAAATTGAACTCATTATATTTGTGTTTATATGTATATATATTGCATAACTCAGTATAAATTCATGGTCCTAGCGCTGGCGAGTTTAACTATGCTTCTCCAGCAAATATTTGCAACTTAATAATTTCTGAAGTACAAACTTAAGTTACGAGTTGTCTGTTTTACTAAAACGTTCGTAATTTTTGTTGTAAACTTAACTTAGGAAGATTTTGTAGGTTAAAGATTTCGATACTCTCCTGTGTTGAAGGTAGGATTCATCTCAGTAACAAACAAGAGGCCCAAGAGGGCCTGTATTGCTCACCTGAATATTTAAGCAGTCATAGCAAAATATTCTCATTAAATATTATATTGCACTAAAAATATTCCCTCGCAAACTTTGTTGGCTCCATCTGTTGAAACTACCAGCAAAATCTTATTATAAGATTCTATGCATTTTGATTCTTGTTAAGAAGTTGCTTGACATATTTTTTCCTGTGACCTTGTAAGTACGTCAATGTCATTTACCTTCTCAAATTGGTTAGCTCTATTCCAAAAAGCTACCAGCCAAATCTAATGAATCCATTTCTTTTAGTTCTTAAGAACAAATCCTTTAAAATGTTGTTGACCTCTGTGACCTCTAAAGTAGATCAAGGTCATTTTCATTCGCAATTTTGGTGAGCTGTATCCCAGGAAGTCACCAGCCAAATATTATAAATTAACGCCTTTTAATTCTTCATCAGAAGTAGTTTGAACCGTTTGACATATTTGAACACTGTGACCTTGAAAGTAAGTCAAGGTCATTTTCATTCACAAACTTTGTTTGGTTCTTTCCTAGGAAGCTTCAAGCCAAATATTAAGGTTCTATAACTTTTAGTTCTTCAGAAGAAGTCGATTTAAGCATAAGACATATTTGACTCCTGTGACCTTGAAAGTAAGTCAAGGTCATTTTCGTTTTCAAACTTTGTCGGGCTCTATCCCAGGAAGCCACCTGCCAAATATAAAGATTCTATACCTTTCAGTTCTTCAGAAGAAGTTGTTTGAAGTGTTTGACACATTTGACCCCTGTGACCTTGACAGTAGATCAAGGCCATTTTTATTCGCAAACTTTGTTCGGCTTATTCCATGGAAGCTACGTACCAATTGTCATGTCTCTTAACCATTCGGTATTTCAGAAGTAGTTGTTTGAAGTTTTTAATATATTTGACCCCTGTGACCTTGAATGTATGTCAAGGTCATTTATATGAACAAACTTAGTACCCCTTTATCCCAGCATGCTATTGGCCATATATCTTCACCCTATGTCTGTTCGTTATTGAGAAAAAGTTTTTTAACGTGGAATTCTCCGACACCGTTTGGTATTGGGGAGTGACTATATTAAATCAACAAAAAGACACGGTCTGGATATCTTCTGAACAAGAATAATATATATTACGTTTTTTGTCCGGATCTGTAAGGTTTGTTGATTAGACACCCCATGACCTATAAAAATGGTGTTTGCTCAGGTAAGAAATTTTAAACGATTGGAAATTGAGGACTCTACTGATGGAATTTAGCAGCTGTTGGTGTTTAGAGCTGATTTGGATCAATATAAAATCCATTTATTGATATATGTGAGGTATGTGTTGTGTCATAGTAGATTTGTGTTGTCAGCACTTCATAAATTAACTCCCCGATACCGAACGGTGTCGTAGAATTCCATGTTTTCATATAGCAGTGCGCTCTGGCCCCACACCAGACATCTAACTTATGTCAAAATGTCTAAGTCTGGTGTTAGGGCCAAAGGAAACTTGGACTAGATTTTAGTCTTGGCACAGGGGCTTGTATCGACTTAAATGATGAAATTAGCTAGAAATACCTATGATAAAATTAGCTAGAAATACCTATGATAAAATTAGCTAAAATACCTATATACAGTATATATATAGGTATTTCTAGCTAATTTTATCATATAAGTCTTTATCATATGTTGATAATAATAACACCCTTTTTGTATGTGTAATAAGTCTAAAATTTCCACAAGTGATATCACACCCCCTTGGAGTGATATCACACCCCCTTGAAAGTGATATCACACCCCCTAGAAAAGTGATATCACACCCCTCCTAAATTTCGTGGAAAGCATGAGAAACCAGAACACTGCGAGAAAAACGCAGTCGGACATCAAAATATTCATGGATTATCTGATGTCTCACATACTTTTTAAGTATAATTGTTACTATTTGTTTATATATCCTCGGGTTACCGGTTTCCGCACACTTTAGAAGCATCCGCGTTTTCGTACTCATATCAGCAGAAAACTGTTGAAATGACGGAAGACTGTCATAAACATGTATCCAATCTACTAAAGGAAACAAATCAAAGTACTGAAAGTACTGAAAGCTAAGGCAAAAGATATATATATTATTTTTGGAATGGAGAACAAAATAAAGACGAAGTTCCCATCATATTGTACAGAAGGATTTACTGTTAATTTGTTATGAATCAAAGTTTTATGTAAAAGTGTACCACTGTGAAGTTATTCTTCTTGTGTGTACAGTATATCTTTATAGGTTTGTCAGAAGAGTGGTACCAAGTTTCCTCTAGAATATATCATTTTAAACCTTTGGATAATTAATTTGCATAGGAATTTGGAATTGCTTCCCTTTGTCCATACAATGTATTTCATAGAACATTAAAAACTGAAACTGGCATTTACCCCTTTGACCAATACCTGATTATTTTAAACCATTGAATAGATTATGCACAGATTGTGAACATCTTTGAACTTTGCCTTTGTTGTTGAATAAGATATCAACCCTTGCCTTATCTAACAAAGTTACTTGGCATAAAACCATTGACCAATCAGAGTACAGTATGCTAATTAATTAGGCATGGATTTCACTCAACTTTGAACTTATCGTCTAAGTTTGTATATTGATCAATATATATTCAAGCAAGTTATCTTGTAAAGTGTGCACATCGACCAGGGTTGGCATGCTTTTTAATACGTGTGAATTTTGTTCAAGTTTCAATTTTGCATCAGTCAGTGTATATTGTTACAGAACAATATTTATAAGGATGTTTACTTGCCGAAACTAAATTGTGGATAAGCAAGTGGATTACTGCTACCCATAAATTTACAAGTCTCTCAATAATTTTGAAAAA